TGGAAAAGCTAATAAGGCGGAAATATTTTGAACTTGTTTTTGCAACTTTTATATGGGCAATTTTTGGTGAATTTGTCTACTTTGATGAGTCTTTAATAACATCACGACTACATCCCAGACAGCACCAGATATTCCATGAATCTCCCTATCATATTCCTTTTGGAATATTGGAATATTCTAGAAATAATCTGGAATATTCCGGAATATCTGGGAAATATTCTCTAAATATGCGAATGGGAATTCCTCAGATAATCATAGAATATACCCAAAAGAATATTCTATGTTGAATGTTCCTGGAATATTCCAATAAACATATTCTAAAATTAAAAAAAGTGACCTAAGTAGGGATCGAACTCGTGACCTCAAGACTATCAGAGCAACGTCTTGACCACTAGGCCAGTAATCGAATTGAATAATGTTATACATATCAAGTTCTTGTTCGAAATCGGATCATAAACACTTTTTGTTTCAAAATCCCCTCACATCTAATTGATGTTCGATACTCATATGTCTGAAATAATAAATGGTATTTATGTGTTGAGAAACAAAGGAATATTCATGGAATATTTCATGAATATTCACCACCGAATATTCAGTTGAGAATATTTCATGAATATACCGCACAGAATATTCAGTTGGGTATATTTCATGAATATACCGCACAGAATATTCAGTTGGGTATATTTCATGAATATACAACAGAGAATATTCAGTTGGGAATATTCCTGGAAGATTCATAGCTGAATATTCCCTGAACATGTCCGACTATTCACTTTCCTATTCCATATTCCATATTCCTTTTAGATGTTCCAGTGGCATGTATATATTCTAGGAATAATCGATGAATATTCGGAATATACTCCTCCTTTTTAGCATATTTAGAGAATATTCTATGAATATCCAGTGCTGTCTGGGATCATGTTAAAAAAATTGCCTCACCTTTGAAAACATTGTAATATCCTGCCCTATTCAATAAGATCGAAAGATACAGGGTGAATCTGGATATATATCTCACCAAAATAAGTTGTTTGGCAAAATATTGCTGACATAAGATATTCAAGATAACGGAGGTACAGGTATTTAAAGGTTTGAAGAAGACTCCAGCTATGAAACATGTTGTGTACATTTCCATAAATACACAAAAAAGCCGTTATTAGTCCAGTATTAGATACCCTACAGTTGCATTATTTCATCAGATGAATTAATCAAATACTTCTTTTCACATTTTCAACCTATTAATTTTCGTTTTGAAGTGATTTTTCACCATATTTTCTCTAATAAATGTTAGATTAATAAAATCAGGTTTTTAATGAACAAAACCTAGAAATGCCTTCTCCTCCGTTATCTTACATTTTTTACATATACATTTTTTGGCCAATCAACTTATTCTGGCGAGATATATACTCTGTTAAATGAAAAACCTCACTTTCAGAATCACCCTGTATAGTTTCACAAACTTAATATAACTTTACTCGAGGGAAGACCAGCTGTATTAAAAGATATTCCATTCGAAAAACATCATGTCCAGTTTTTTTCTCTCGTTTTCGATTCATACAATTAATATAGCAGAAGAGCCGTCATCTGATAACGAAATGTCCTGAGCAAAATGATTGAAAAATTGCACTTTCCTGTGCGGTCATTTGCACTCAATTCGGCAATTCGATAACGAGATAAGAATTATGCAATTGAATAGCAGATAAATGGGGATAATTTCCCCTTTGCGAATATTCAAACGTGCCTCGATTCAAACCAGGATGAACAGAAGATGTAGTAGAAACTCCTATCAAATCCCATCTACTGTTTTTCGGTCAAAATTCATGACTTGACAGAAGGATTCTTTTCAATGTCGCAGAATATAGGTCGCATTTTACCCGTTAGATGGCGAAATCTCAACCAACATTCAAGGTTGGTAGAACTGATGATAATGAAAATTCTCCAGAATTACAGTTTCGTACTTTCAAATATAATCTTCATATGACTTGAGGTTATGTTATGAATGTAATGATATTATTATTTGAGGTGGTTAAATCTGTAAAGAGTGTCGCCATCTTCCGGACAACTGAGAACTAATAATATGCCATTCTTGCGGATTACACCATATTTTATCCACCTGTCGAAAGATAATATTCGATGGACCAGTGTAAAACTCATGTAGTGCTCGCAATTTTAGTATTGAAATTTGAAATCCGCAAATGTTCAGTTTTATACTGGTCCATCGGATATTATCTTTCGACGGGGGCGAAATATTCTCGGAATTCCTGATGCTACCCAAGGAATTCCTGCGACTACCCAGAGAATTCCCACAATTCCAAAATACCCGGAATATCCGAAGACTACCTGAACTATCCAAGGAATTCCCGTACTTCTTGAGGAATTCCCGGATTTCTCAAGGGATTCCCGGACTTCCCGAAGAATTCCCAGACTTCCCGAAGAATTTACAGACTTCCCAAAGAATTCCCGGACTTTCCAAAGAATACCAAGACTTCCCGAGGCATTCCCGTCTCGGGTACACTGGACTTCCCACGTGATTTACCCCTCGAGCAAAGGAGACATTATTTCCATTTATTTGCTTTTTGTTTCAACTCGTTATCACATGACTGAAGTATGTCCGGATAAATGACAGCAAATTAATCGCTGTGACATAGATTTTACTCTGACTAAGGGGTGGACAGGTACGATTTTGAGATCTACCATTCAACTGGTATCGGATGGCATAATTCCTATCTCGTTATCAAATCCCGAAATCGGGTGCAAATTATCGCAAAGGATAGGGCCATTTAAAATCATTTCGCACAGGTGTCATTCGATAAAATACAATGTTTTTATATGCCTTTGGGCTCATGGACTGAAAGTATAGCATGAGCATCATTGAATAGAGCAGAAATATTTATAGAGAGAATAATTTAATCAATGGACTTACAAAGGAGGTAATCAAACGTAAGGGTATAATATTGATAATCTTCTCCAACCAAGATTAAATTTCATCTTGAGTAACAAATCAAAGATTACAGTGACTAGATCCGTCAATCACAGATAAAATAAACATTTTGCATAACGCAAAAATATTATAAATAATCAGAATTTGTCTAAGCAATGTAGGCGGTACTGAGCTCTTCAGACAAACCATAATATAACTCAACATACTTAAGTACCTACAGCAAATTCATAAGATATAACCTCGAGAAGTAACTATTCACCTTCTATGCCTACATAATGAATAAACAAAGATGATGGTGAAATTTATGTTGACAGCAGGATGATGGTGATTTGAAGTTAATATTAAATTCAAAATAAATGTGTTTCAAGTGGTTTCAAGGAAGTGTAGCCAGGTGTAGTCGTAGTCATCAATTATTACTGATGATATCTTATTTCACCTGTATTAAACATTGGATCTGAAGGAAAAAAATGTATTTCCAAGAGATTTTTACGATTTTTCCCATTACAACATTCATAAAAATATGAATTTAGAGTTTTGCATAAAAGGAAATGAGAGACATCAGCATAGTAGGTGATCCTTGGAATTGTACTAGGTCTAGGTAAGTTCCTATCGAGGTTCCTATCTGATATCTTTTATGATAATGAAAATCATTTTAAAATTCATTTCATTATTTACAATTGTTGAACGCCGATTTTTCATTCGTTTGTCCGATTAATTCATCAACGACTTTATCATCTAATGCTTATATTTTTCTTATGCTGGGTTTATTGATTTAATTGAATTAACAATTAACAATCAACAATTAATATCATGAAGGTGTTTATACATGTCTGATAATAATTAGGATTTAGATGTGAAATGTATGTTGAATTGTAAATTAAAATGGTGTTGAAAAGTGATTTTGGTCTTCACAATTCATGAATCCATAAAAAATATTGAAACTAAATATCACCAAACTCCAATTGAACAATAACAAAACCCATCATTGTTAGTTTAACTCTTAGTTTAGTTAAATCTATAAACCTAGCATAATCGTTCATAAATGAGCAAATCATTGAACAGGGATGTCACCCAGAAAAATAAAACTACAGATTGCACTTATAGACCAGTGATGTAGCCTTTGAAAACGTGAAAAAAATCATAGTAGGATGAAACCCATTGGAAAAGAAAGGGAATATAACAAGAGAAGATAACAAAAACTTGGTTATTTGAATTTTTCACAAAAATTTTCAGGTTATGTGAAAACCGTGTATTCACAAGAGTTATAGATCTTTTTATTACCAACGACTTTGCTATTTAACTATTTTCCATAGGACTTGTAGTTTTGCTAGAAATAGAGATTGGCCGTTTTTCACCCTTAAAAGCTCATCCCCTTCCACTTCCCGACCTCAGATCGACCGTAATTTATTTCTACTTTCATTTTTGTTATATTCTCTTCCTTTCTCGATGGGTTTCATCGAGGGTTTCATTCTACTATCACTTTTTTCAGTTTCGAAAATTATCGACACTGGTCTATCCTTGAAATCTCCATAACAAAAATATTATATACTGTTTTTCAAGTACTTTTTCAGTAACCTAAGAATTAATGTGTTATTAAACCAAATTGTATAAATTGAGTTATTATTCTGCAACCATCTAAAAAAGTCCTTGATTTTCAACGTGCATCTTAATAGTTACTATACCTACCAGATTTTTTCTTTTTAAATTTTATAATTACGTAGTTGACAAATGATTTTTTTCGTGACTGTGATATGGAATTTCCATAAACTATCATTTCAAATTGAACGAGATCATCAGACGAAGACGAAGGTAGTTCACCATATTAGATCAATATTTCAAACAGCGAATTTGTGAATTTAAATCAAACACCGACCAGTTGCACGAATTTTTGACAAAACTCTTCATCTAACTCACTTGTGAAGTCATTACTCATATAGAGCAATATCATGGCTCAAACTTAATAGATTAGTTACCTACAACAAGAAGACTAGAACACCTAAATCTAAAATAAACAGTCTCAACGAATATTACTTTGCTACAAGTCTCTCTCACTACAGCCTACTCAATTCCTATTCAACCCTTTCTTCCTTTTCTTCTTTCTCTTGAGCAACCCACAACATTTTGTCTCACTCACCACTTCAATCTCCTTCACCTGTGTGATAGGAGTGCTGCTATGAGCCACAGAGTTCTCAGCATTGAAATCAACATTTGTGGAGCTCATCACCAAAACAGAGCCGTGTGGAGCAACCGTCGTCAGATTTCCTACTATGGGCTTGGGAGGCCCAAGTTTTGGCTTCTCCCTAATTGGTGAGATAGCAAACTCCTGGGTAGCAGTCGGTAGAGATCCTGCAGAAATGTTGGCAGTCTTTCCAGCCCAATCGAAAGCACCATCATCAACATACTTCTTTCTTGTGAGCAATCCAAGGAATATATTTCTCAGGTAATCATAGTCTGGTGATTCAAAGAAATCCAACCTCCTGACACACCTCATATATGTTGCAAATTCTTCTGGGAAACCCTCACATAAACTCTCAATTTTAGTTTCCCGTTTGATATCTCCGATTTTTTGATACCGCTCTTTCAAAGTGTCTGCCTTGAGACCTTGCCAAGGTAGAGCACCTCTTAGGAAATACATGAGCATGTGACCCAAGGCTTCCAAATCGTCCCTTCTGGACTGCTCTTTGCCTAAATGGGTATTTATGGACATGTATCTAGCAGTACCTGTTAAGGACTTGTGTTCTCTGTAAGGAATATGCTTATTCGTCTCTGGTTCAATATATTCTTTGGCCAGACCAAAGTCTATGATGTGAATTGTTTTATCTCGCTTTGTACTTGACCTGCCTATGAGGAAATTTTCAGGTTTGATGTCCCTGTATATCAAACGTCTGGAATGAACGTATTCAATTCGGTGTAGGAGTTGAATTGCAAGCATCAGCACTGTCTTTAGGGTGAATTTTCGATCGCAAATATCGAATAAGTCTTCCAAACTGGGACCTAGCAGCTCCATCACCAATGCATTATATTTTCCACAGGGGCCAAAATAGTAAACTTCTGGTACACCTTCATGACTACCCAATAATTTATAAAATCTGTATTCAAGATGGAGTTGGGGTGCCTTTGATTTGAATGGTTCTAGTTTGATAGCTACATGTTCATTATTATATAAATTTTTGCCCAAGCGTAATTCACCAAAGTTGCCACAACCAATTTTTTTTCCTACCTTGTAATTAGGACCCACCATTAGGACTCCAGAGCTAGTTGAGCTGGATTCGCTCATTCCAGGTTTAGTTGTTTTCGATTCATGGTCCCCCTTTTCCATTTTGATTTTTAAAAGGAATCTGACTAGAGCAGCAACAATAATACTTTGTATTTATGAGATGTAATGGAGATTATCACAATGATTGTATCACAGATGTTTAGGGCTCTAAAGTATATGAAATAATTCCAAATATTGAGGAAATTTAAAGATGAGCAGTTTCAAACTAATTTAGATGAAGTAGTAACAATTATTGAGAAATATACTGAATTTATCAATATGATGTTATCGCTCCGAAACAACAGATTCATTGAAGAAATATTCAGCAAAATAATCTGAATTATTGGGATGTTCTCTCCCAGATTCTCTCCATTGTCAGGAAAAGATTCCATTGGGGGATACAAAAATGTTCTTGTTGGTCATTCTAGAAGGATAAATATCGGTTACTCTTCCTGCCGTTTAGGTGAAAACACTTCAAATTAGCTTACCAATTTTCCAAACGTTGGTAGATGGAACATACTTGTCTATGGAGTTGTCTATCAATCTCATTCAATTCTTGAATCCGCAAAAAACTCCATCATAACCAATCGAAAAAAGAAAACTTCAATAAAGGTAGTCCACTCAACTAAACTTTTAATTAGATTAGATTTGAATCAATGAAATTATGTCACGAGTATTCATTTTATTTTACCTTTTATCTTGTTTCAAGATACCTGTCAGAAAAGGTAAACATAAATAAACGTAGAAAACAAACATAACCTGATTTTCTTTCTCACTGACATTCATTAGTTATGTCTAAGATTGGCAAGGCGGGATCATAAGGAGACAGGAACTGGTGACCAGGTAATATTATTTCTGCGGTAACAAAATTACATATTACCACAGTTCATCATCAGTGGTTATTGGGTGAGCGGTGGTTTTGTCATTTCTTTTCTAAGAGAGGTGAATGATAAAATCAAGATAAAATATTCACCGATTTTTTTTTAATTAGCCATATGGTTTTTTATTCATCAGGTCCTTCAGCCCAAAGTGTTCTGGATACTGGTATTCTATGATACTAACTCCATACGCCACCTCAGGAGCAGCACTGTTAATTGTAACGCAACAGTATATCGTGCAAGGTGCAAGATTATCTCCAACCGATGCCTCGATCAAAACTCAACAATATCCAATTCCGTAAATTAAATATTCCAAAAATGCCTCCTCTTGTGTGGGATTCGAACCCATGCCCTCGTGGTCATGACTCGGGCGCTTGTGTTCGATCATCTTGTATATCAATATCATATAATATTTATAGTCAACCAGCTACCTGCAAAAAACCGCAGAAACGTCAACAGGAACGTCACTTATTCTGTGGACTGCTTGGATCAGAGGTCTTAAATCTTCAAACCATTCTCATCTGTGCTGTTCGGATCTGTGTTTTTCACAAAAATTGTGGAAGCTGATCAGTGTTCGGCACACTATGATCATTGGATCTAATAGTTTATCTGCGAGCGAATGTGCATGCATTCATAATGTATCACGTGATACACCAATCTGACAATGAGGATTGGGAATTATTCGATAACACGATACCTTTGAGGTGAGTTTCTAATGCAGCTTTCTTGATTTTCGGGTCACACGTCACGCAATCTGATGTGATGCGGAAATGCGTAAATTGAATTATTTTCTGCAGTTCCAGTACCTATCACTGTCGATTTGGCTGAAGTTTGCATTGAACAATCATGAGAATATCTGAGAATACTGAAAATATAGTATGAAATAATGCGTCCACGATATACAGAGCTCATAGCTGCATTAGATAAGTATTTCATCAAGAAACGAAAATAGCACAGTGAAAATGAGATGATTCGGAAGGTACCTACTTCAATGATACTGCAATGGTTTGCTATATAACGATGAGATTACTCTCAGAAATGAGGGGTCTAATGAAGTTGCACTCGAAATTTCTACATTTTCATGAAAAATCTTGTGTTGAAAGAATTTATTAATGCGTTAATGGAAATTGAGGTTTCTGGAACATACCCTACACACAGCACAAAGCAGAAACGTCAAAAAGTTGAAAAATTCCAACTTCATCGCGTCAGATATTTTTCAAATTCAGCGTCACCAATCAGGTTGCGTGACGCGCGACGAATAAAGCAAAAACGCTGCATTGGGAATTCACCTTTAGACTCGCGACTCTCGGCTTGGAACAGCCGGACGTGACCTTAGATAGATTTCAATCGTTAAATCACAATAACTGTCTCTCGCCAGTCATTCAATTAGTACATGCTGCCGTACTTATAGATGTTATGAGGAAGTAAAATATCGTTTTTGCATGGTGAGGGACTTCTTTTGACCCAACTCGACCTGAATGAACCTTCATCCTGGAAAGAATAATTTTTCAAAATTTAGAATTTCACGTCGATAATAACTACTGTGATAATAGTTTCCTGATTTTTATGTCATTATTGATTCGTCCTGCTTCCTGTCACAGAAAAATAGTTATTTATTATACAAGGGAAAAAAGTAGTAGATTTTAGCTCCAGGTTGTGTTGTCTCCCGACGCGTAGCGGAGGGAGACAAAAAACCGTGAGCTAAAATCTAATATTTTTCCCGTGTATAATACACTATTTTTTTCTGTGACAGAAGGAAGGACGAATCAATATTGAGAAGATATTACATTATTTCGAAATCTGAAAATTATCGACGTGAAATTTCAAGTTTTTAACAGTAGGGACACCTGCGTTTTATAGGCATCTTTATCATTCTTTTGAAGTAATCAAATATCTGATGTCACTTCTGTCAGTTCAATTCTGTGATTTGATTTCAAAAAATTGCGAATTCAGTAGTTGTTTAGTAATATACGAAACCGCGAAGTCGAATGGAAGATAAAAGAACTTGCAGTTCTTTCTCGGAGACGGTATTATTGACTCATTTTTCGGAACTATAGCACAACAAAAGCCATTAACAGAGTATATATATGTGATATATATCCGGGAAAGAAGTACTCACTTTTTTCCCACGGGAAAAAAATTATTCAGAAAAGTGACATTTTATAACCTGCCAACAGAGATGAAATGCCAAACTTTTTTCCCGTCACAGAAAAAAATAATGTATTATACACGGGAAAAATATTACATTTTAGCTCCACTACGCCTCGGGAGACACTTCCTCGAGCTCATTCTTTTAAGATATGCAATAAAATATAGGATGTTCCTTTAAAAAAAATCGAACATTTTCACACCCCCCGAAAATGGAATGAGGATATATAATGTTAAGAGGGCACCATTCGGAAGAGAAAAACATCTAATTCAAGATTTTGTTCTGAAGTTTTCAAAATCCTAATTAGTTTTCAAGATATTGAATGTTGAATTACTTTGCCTGCCTAAAATTTCCATAGTAGGTACACTCGTCCTCAAAGAACATGTCGCAGTTATTGACGTTGCAATAGGAGCGTTCTTACACCGTCCTACCGCGTCATGTTTTCTGAAGACGAGAGTGCGTACGCATATATGCATATACACAGGAGGGAAATGCAATAATCTTCGAGATCTCTTGATATCTCAAAGGCATATTTTTGCGAGCTTGTTTACTGGCTATAGGCCACAGATGTTGTGGCAGCTGCTTGTCTTTATATTTGATGGTGACCCACTTTCAGTACTTTCACTAACCGCCGTATGCTATATATACACATATATGTAGTATAGACGATGTAAGACCATCGATTTTGATCTAGAAGATAAACACGATGTAGAAACGAAATCAATCGATATTATTCATGCATGCATACTTCATGAAGACATATAGGTACAGGGTGAAGACTTCAACTGGAATAAATATCGCAAACGGAAAGGTGAATATAATTTATTTTCAATTTCCCAGACACGTCAACGTTTCAAAATGTATAGTCTTCACAAAGTAATTTGAGACAACTTGATCAATAGAGATTTTTTTGCGACCGCCGAGCCCTTTGAAAAATTCAAACGGACCGCGTGACGCCGGCGATGTTTTTGTTGAATTTGTCTCAAGTGAATTTGTAAAGAGTACACATTTACCTCTGCCCCTTCAATAGCAATAAAACACCCTCAATATGTTTTTTTGAATGAAATATAGCAATATACACCCGTAAGCCCACTACCAACGGTCGAATACTTGAAGAATTGAAAAATAGGCATGAGTAGCTGTCTTTTTTCCACAAAATACACATTTCGAACTATTGTCAAAACTGCGCTTCTTGTGCCAATATACAAGAATTCTTGAGACAGAAGAGATGTCACTTATTATAGAGATATCAGTGAACTTTGTATTTTTAATAAAATCCTCGAGAGCATATCATATGATCTAATCTTCGACAGCCTCAAACACATAATTCTGGGAGAACAACATGGATTATTTTCTAAAAGATCCATAGAGACCAATCTTATGATTTGTAATCAGTTTATATCAGATTCACTCGATAATCGTATTCAAACTGACTCTATCTATTCAGATTTCAGCAAGGCATAATCTTTTGTTGATGAAACTTGCTGAAATTGGTATGCATGGTGATATATTACGATGGTTTTCATCTTACATATTCAATAGGTCTCAGATCTTAAGTATCAATGGATTTAAATTATAGTTACCTCGGGGGTGCCCCAAGGGTCAATTCTTGGACCTTTGTTATTTATTATTTTAATTAATGACATCGATCAATCCATGATTCCGAATTTTTATTGTTTGCTGATGACCTGAAACTTTTCACAAGAATTATGTCGTTGGACGATTGTATGAAACTCCAGAACGATCTCGATAGAGGTTAGATGTGCGTATTGTAAAAGGAATAGATTATTTTTTTATTTTTGCACTCAAGGAAATGTCGCAGTATAAGCTCTGCTAGGATTCAGAACCCTATTGCATTTGATTATAATTTGAATTGTACCCATTTGGAAAAAGTATCTTATATTAGGGATCTTGGAGTTATTTTCGATTCCGAATTGGGTTTTGCAATGCATATATTGATTATGTTACTAACAAATGCAATAGAATGTGAGGTTTTATTGAAAGAACTTGTAAATATTTTCGGTCTCAAAATTCAA